GGGGGTGAAACTGATACAATGGGGGCGCTGTGCTGCAAGGAGCGGGGTGGGGGTCTCAGTAGGGGGTGCTCTCCCCTGTGAATCAGTGCTCACCGCAATGCCCCCTCTTCTCTTCTCTTCTCTTCTCTTCTCTTCTCTTCTCTTCCCCTCAGCAGTGCCTGGTCAGCAGGGGAAGAGAAGAGGAGATGGGGGAGCAAAACACACGGCTAGTTGCCCAATGGGCACAGCACTCAGAAGAATGAGGTCGGGGGGATGAGGGTTCCCAGCCAGGTTTCCCCCGCACCCGTTTGACAGACAGACATTCCCCAAGGGGGACATGGAGGTGCCCATCTGGATGGTGCCCGGATGGGATCCTTCACCCAGCTTCCAGTACCCAGTCCCAGCAGGTGCCCACTCCGGCGCCCCAACTACCAACAGCTGTCGTCGTCGGTTGCCCCTGTTCAGAGGCTCTTGACTGTCCCTGTGAACTCTGAACCCCAATACTGCAGCCACCCCAGGTCACAGTCACGACAGGACGTCCCCTCTCCTCTAGCCACTGAACCCCATCATATCCCTCTAGGCGGTCAGCCCCTCTAGCGGGGGGCAGCAGGTACAAACACACATACACACACAGCAGGGCTCATCCTCTCCTGCAGGGGGCAGCAGTGACACACACACACACACACACACACACACACACCCCTACCTCACTCCTCTAACAGGAGCACTGCTTCAAGACCTCACCCACGGGAATTCCTTGTGGTTCTCTGTTCATCACAACGTCAGCTCAGAACAAGCTGCCAGGCTTAGGGGGGCTCCGCGGGCCAAGTCCTCGCAACTGCACCCTAAGGCTCGGCGACCCGCCGTGGGCCAGAGGCTCCGTCCATTGGGAAAAAGGCCCAAGACCACTGAAAACCAGGCGGTTCATTTACAAACCCTTCCTTTGCCTGTTAGCTTCCTGGAGAATCCAGTTTGTGCTAATAGACGAGAACCACTCCAGGGGGGTGTCTTCAAAGGGGCTGATAACCAGAGCAACTACATTATCATCCCCTAGTGTGAGCAGACCCCTGATATTAGAGGTTTTGTCTTATCCAGGCAACTCTACACCTGCTCCGAAAAATAAGTGTCCCAATTTTTCACACTTGCTATCTGGTCACCCTACCATCCCCCTCCCCCGAGGAGTTACAGACACGTTCCGTACGAGGAGAGATTAAAAACACTGGGACAGTTCAGCTTGGAAAAGAGATGACTAAGGGGGGATATGCTAGAGGTCTATAAAATCATGACTGGTGGAGATCAGTGGTTTTCAACTGTTTTTCTTTTGCAGACCCCCAAAAAATTCCAAAGGGAGGTGTGGATGATTCATTTATGGATGATTATTATGCAGGGCTGCCCAGAGGGGGGGGCAAGTGGGGCAATTTGCCCCAGGCCCCGGGCCTCGCAGAGGCCCCCACGAGAGTTTTTCAGGGCCCCTGGAGCGGGGTCCTTCACTTCCTCCGGGGGCCCCGGAAAACTCTCGCGGGGCCCAAGCCCCCGAAGCTTCTTCCGCTCCGGGTCTTCGGCGGCAATTCGGCGGAGGGTCCTTCCACTCCGGGACACGCCGCCGAAGTGCCCCGAAGACCTGCGGCTAGGGATCCTTCTGCCCGGGACCCACCGCCAAAGTGCCCAGGCCCTCTGAATCCTCTGGGTGGCCCTGTTATTATGGGGTAAAAATTGGGGCCAGGACAGACAGGAGAGTGGGGCGGGGACAGACAGGAGAGTGGGGCGGGGACAGATCGGGGGGGACAGACAGGAGAGAGGGGTAATACCTCGCTGGGTACGTCTACACTGCCAATGGCAGTAGGTCTCAGAGCCTGGAACTGGGTCTGCACTACAGGGCTAGAAATAGCAGTGTAGACGGTCCCAGTCAGGCTTGCCGACCCACCCCCCTTTGCCGGGTTTGGAGCCCAAGTGGGAATGTCTAGCCCTGTAGTGCGAGCCCCATGAGCCTGAGTCAGTTGACCACATAAATTGGTCCACTCTCTAAGGATCCTGTGCTAAAAGTGAGATTTTCAGACCCACCAGTCATGCTCCCCCAGCCCCCACTGGCAGACGTCCTATACAGCAAAGCCTTTGTTCCATGCAGCAGGGCATGGAGGTGAAAGGCACCAACCTTCACTCCTGCTGGCTCTGAGTGATGGTCCTTCAGCGAGGTCACATGCACCTTTCTCAGGTAGAAGAGCTGCGATGAGCAAAGAGCAATAGGCTGCTATGGAGCAAACCCGGGCTGGGGCGGTCACCGTGCTGATAGTTCCACACCTAGTACAACACAGAGACCATGATCTGATGCTGTCATAGCCCACTCTGCCACACCAGCGAACAGAACACCCCAACGCCATCAGACCACAAACAAAATGTTGACCCCAGAAAAGCAGAACCACCAGATACTGCGTGAAATCCACTGGGTATTTTATGTGGAAGGCACTCGGATAGCATGGCAATGGGTGGCAGTATAAAACCAGGAAACATAGAGATATCCGTCTTCCTTATAGTGATATAAACCTAGAATAACTCCATGGATTTTGTGGAGTTACCATGGATTTACCACTTTAAATACAACATTTTGCATAAAAAAAAAATCACACACCATATTCTTATTGGAAAATGTCATCAATTGATTGTATGTGTAAAGAAACACAGATAAAACTATGTTCATGAGAGAAATATGGACATTTTATTCTTGGTGAATAACCTCCACCCAGTCAGTTTCCTCAGGGCAGCTTTGATCTCCTTGTTCCTCATGCTGTAGATGATGGGATTCATCACTGATGGCAGCACGGAGTAGAGAACGGCCACCATGAGATCCAGAACCGATGCTGAGCTGTAGGTGGGCTTCAGGTAGACAAAGATGGCAGTGGAAACAAACAAGGAGACCACAATGAGATGAGGGATGCAGGTGGAGAAGGCTTTATGCTGGCCCTGCTCAGAGGGGATTCTCAGCACTGTGGTGAAGATCTGAACATACAACACAATTATAAAAACAAAACAGCTTAAGCCTAATCAAACACTCAAGATGAGTAACTCAACTTCACCAAGGTACATGTCAGAGCAGGAGAGCTTGAGCAGCTCGGGCATTTCACAGAAGAATTGATCCATCATGTTGCCTCTACAGAAGCTTATTGCAAAATAAGAGACTGTCTGGTTTGGACAATGTACATGGCAGAGGGGCATTGCTAGTCTCTACGCAAAAGAATAAATGGACACAAATCTGACATCAGGAATCATAACATTCAAAAACCAGAAGGAGAACACTTCAGCCTCTCTGGCCACTCAGTAACAGACTTAAAGGTGGCAATTTTGCAACAGAAAAGCTTCAAAAACAGACTCCAATGAGAAACTGCTGAACTTGAAGTGATATGCAAATAGAGACTGGGAATGGCTGAGGCATTACACCCATTGAATCTATTTCCCCATGTTAAGTATCCTCACACCTTCTTGTCAAGCTGTCTGTAAT